CAAATGCCATAATGATTTAAATAGTGTATAAATACAGCTCCGAAATATATGAATGATCCATTGAAAGATGCACGATAATGAAACATAATGATTAACAACAATTTCCTGTAAAGGACATAATGATACGCTTGGATAATTTAAGGAAATATATTTACCAAAGTGCCATGCGTGAGGTGGTTTGTTCGAGAAGTTTGTAAAAACTGAGGCCCGGCATGTAAGTTATATCTAAATGAAATATAAGTAATTAGTTGTTAGGATAAAAATGTGATTAAATGAAATGATATAGGATAGTGGATTGTATATCAGACTGTAGAGAAATATAACACATAAATATTAGACCTACACAAGAGACTGTACATATTTACATACAATGCGGCACATTTATGGAATACATTTTCAACTGACATAAAAGTACAAAGTAAATTGTCATCTTTTAAGGGTAAACTAAAGGATGATTTGATAAAAAATACAGCTTAAAGCGCTAAAAACTTTAAACTGATTTTTTAACAGAAATTTATATAAATCTCTCTTTGTTTTTTTGTTTGTTTGTTAACATTGATTGATGACTGCTGTGCATACGAAGTTAAGATACTTATTTCCCTAACTTATTATTTATAATCCACAAAAATGCTATCTTTTTTGTAAGAGTGTTTGTCGTAATTATATTGCTGTTTTCTGTTTATATATATGTATAGAAGGCCATATTGGAAATAAGTTGTATGTTTATTATGTACTCTTAATATGTCACCTTCTCAAAATAAAGTTATTATTTTATTATAATAATAATAATGATAATAATAATAATAATAACAATAATAATAATAATAATAATAATTATTATTATTATTATTATTATCATTATTATTATTATTATTATTATTATTTTTATATGCAAATACGAGGACAAAATGATACATACAAACGATATTCGTAACGAGTAACAAAAAACGAATATGGACGACATGACACTTACACATCAGTTACATCAATACAGTATATCTTTACAATAACCATCATATTATTACGGAATTTAAATTCTTTGTTCTTCATATCATAACGGAATTTTGTTTCGGTGTTCATCATATCATTACATCATTTAACTTTTTTTTCTATTTCTATGCAATTTACCTATAATCTACGTATATCATTCGTTTGATTTATACAAGTTCTTCTTTTTCACTGATTATATCATTACAAGATATCTTCTTATATAAAGACATACGTTTTCCCAAACTTCTTGCACATCTTCTGATATACATATAACATGCTTGGTTTATAAAACATTCTAGATTATATAGTTTTCCTAGATTTTAATTTTCAGTGACATTTCTCCCTTCGAACCTAAAGATATTGAAACGGTATAAGATATGCTTTGAGCCTATTGATTATTGGATAAATAATATATACGTCACTAGGGCTTGTCGGGATTAGGGTTTGGTTATCGCATCAAACTTCATACTCAACGTGGTTTTGTAATAATTACACAATATGTATGCACGTTTAATGTAATTTATATCAATCATCATGTTTGACTTTGTATTCGTTTCTAGCTGAACTGAACGATGTAAATGGAATTTCTTTAAAAACTAGATAGTCTATCACAAAGAAGTGTATAGCTGTGTATGGCTTTTTCATTTGATGAATGTTTCAATTAAAGATCCTTTATCAAATATAATATAAACAAGAAGCACTTTTAATAAGTCAATGGCAATAACTCTACAAATACGGAATAAATCTACAAGCAAACCCGCAGGTACACATGCTGACTAACATTCATAAAAAGTTGTCTGACTCCAGATCAAATAATTTTAGCGATGTGCGACACAAAAATTGCAAATTTGTACTAAGTCAAGGGCAAAAACTCTGACAAAACTGAATTAATCCGCAGGCGTAACTTAATTCATGTGCACAACTTGACATGCTAACTAACATATTTCCAAATGACACAATTTTCAAGAGATAGTAACAGATGTTTCCTTTCTTATCTATATCTAAATTTGACCTTTTTAATTTGTGAACATATCTTAATGTTTGAAATATAAACTCGTTAAAGAAGGATTTACGTAACTTATTAATGAGACCTTAAAGTATATGATGGCGTTAAGAAAGATGTATGAAGATGTATTGCTCACTTTCTTGTTTACGATTGTTGTAGTCAGTTCAAAAAAGAATGTGCTTTTCATCATAGCTGACGATTTACGGGCCCAACTCGGCGTATACAATGGACCTGACTTTGCCACACCAGTGCATCCTGACATGTACACTCCGAATATAGATGCACTTGCTTCAAGAAGTCTTCTACTAAAGCGAGCATACGTCCAGCAAGCTGTTTGTTCGCCAAGCAGATCATCTTTTCTAACAGGACGCCGACCAGATACTACACATGTGTATGATTTGGTTTCAAGCTTTAGACACGTAGGCGGCAATTTTACGACTTTACCGCAATTCTTTAAACAGAAAGGTTACAAGACGTATGGTATAGGTAAAATATTCCATGGCAAAAATGCTTCTGGTGGTGATGATACGCCATCTTGGACTGAACCTTATTTCCATGGTGACGACCCGTATTTCAGGGATAGAAATTTTAGTTGGGAAGCCGTGCCTGACAGCGAGCTTCAAACCAAACCATTGGTGGACAGACAGATTGCGGACCATGCTATACAGACACTTCGATCTATATCGGGAAGTGTTAAGAAAGGAGAAACTGACTTTTTCATGGCTGTCGGATTCCGAAGACCACATCTACCATTTGTGTTTCCGGATTCTGTTATGCAAACACACTATCCGAAACATTTGATTCGTTTACCGTCTAATCCTTATGCTCCTGTGAACATGCCAAACATTTCATGGAGTTCTTATGACGAGTTGAGAATCCATTATGGTGACATCAAAGCTTTAAATTTGTCAGGGGAGATCAATACAACACTTCCTGATCAAATAACATTAGATTTACGACGCGCATATTATAGCGCTGTAACATGGATTGATTCACTTGTCGGTGAGGTCATTAGAGAACTTGATAGCCTTGGTCTGTCTAATAACACAGTCGTTTCATTCATTGGAGACCACGGATGGCAGTTAGGTGAACATGGTGAATGGTGCAAACACACAAATTTTGAAATCACTACGCATGCGCCGATGATGATTCATATTCCCGGTTTGACGGATCACGGTATAGTCACTGAGCAATTAACCGAATTTGTAGATTTGTATCCGACCATTGTCGAAGCTGCAGGACATGGTTCTTTACCACTGTGTCCTGAGGATTCGGTCAACACTAAAATATGTAGGGAGGGAACCAGCCTCGTGCCTTTGATCATTAAACCAGATACAGCAATAAAACACACGGCATTTTCTCAGTTTTGGCGACCTGGAAATATTATGGGATACTCAATGCGAACAAACCGCTACCGTTATACAGAGTGGGTAGATTTTAAATATGCCCCGACATACAAAGCCAACTGGGATATAAAACATGGAGTTGAACTGTATGATCATAATGTCGATCCAGAAGAAAACTATAACGGAGCTGACGATCCTAAATATCATGATATAAAGACTGAACTGAGTAAACTACTTCATAAAGGATGGCGACATACACCTGATGTGATCAGTGAAATTATAGGGTGAAGCACACCCAATTATAGTTCATCGTCTTCCTATACATTGAGTAAAGCAAAATTATACAGACAATTAATATATCTACAATGTATGTGAGAATGTGTTATAGATCAGGATAGTATTATCGTAATTGCTTAACCTGTAAAGAGAAAAAATTCTCAATAGGAAATTTCAACTAGACATGCAGGATTAGCTTCCCTTATATACAAAGATTATTCAACTTGACACCTTTAAGATGCATGCCTCTAAATGAGGCAAACTTTTCAAGAAATCAACCTTGGAAAAATAAAAATGTTTACAACTTAAAAAATTATTTCCATGTTATATGCAATTAAGGAGTACTTTAGCAGTATTTATCAGCATATGTATATACCGCGTGACTTCTACTGTATGACTTATGCAGTAATGGCTATTTTTGCATATTGTAAACTATTTTTGGTAAAAATCGTAGATTTTCAGTGTCGTTTGCAATGTATGAATTACTTTATTTGTACATTCCACTACATTTTACTTTTTAAAACATCTTAAAACTATTCATGATAATCAGCGTGAATCTGGAGGCATGCTGCTTTAATGTTTGACTGGAAACCGTTATAAGTTTGTTTAACTTTAGTCTTTCATAAGTTATTAAACTTTACACCTTTTTTTAAATTTATTTAACTGGACACGTTTTTATGGTTGTTAAACTTGACATCTTAAAGGCCTTGCAAAATCCTCTCCAACCAAACTTGTTAATACATAACGATTTTACATAATCCTATCATTGATTTTACGATCTTTTGCTGTCTGGCCATTTGTTCTTTGTTGTTGTTTTGTTTTAATTTTGTTGTTCTTGTGTTTAATATGTTGCCGATGCTTTTGTTGTTTACGATTACCTTATTTACATTATTACTATGTGCATGTAAAATTTGTTGTATGTAACGGTGAACTGTAAATTCAAATAAAATTTCTGTTATGTTCTGTTCTGTTTACGATTACCGACGAATATTTAATCGTATCTACCTGTTCATTACTGTATTAAAAAACAGTAACACACATAATTTTACCCATGAATCATATCAAACAACGGCGGTGAAGGAATTATGGTAGACACTTTCATAAACCTAAATAACGAATAACAAGAACTTCCTTTATCATACTTCTTTAAGAGTTCAGGACTCGGACTTTTCTGCCAACATTTCATGATAGTTAATGTATTCAAGATAAATGTTCTTAATGGTGTGTCCTTGGTAAAGCAATTAAACCTTTGGCATCGAAACACAAGTCGTTCGGTACTAAGCTTGTCAGGTTAAACAGATTCTTGCAGAATCTTGAAAAAACTTTCGAGTAATCTTTCAGAAAGCATTCATTGGTTTTATTTAAATATTCGCCTTGGCGTGACATTATGCAGGTCGGTTTTGGATGTGAAAGCTCCATATACAGGATAGCCGGGAAGTCGCATTATGTCATTAACCGCCATGTGTGACTGAAAACTTACCATTAAATAATAAGTTATGAGCTGTTTTATATATGAAGGTAAACAAATCATTATGTATATTATAGTAAACGGGTCCGTTTTAAAGTTATGATAAAGACAAGGTCTTAATGTAATTAATTAGTAGTTGGCTTTGTGTTTGATTTAAATAGATAGAAATAGACACCCACGATTTATGTAATGGACACATCTCTTTGTCAAATAAGGCTCATTTTTCAATCTTGAAACAAACAAAAAGAATTATCAATCTATTTACCTGCCACAAATTCATATAGATCTTCTCCAATTATTTATTTTTTGTTTTATAATTTTCGTACAACTAGCTATGATAAATTGTTTTCTAAAAGGTAAAATTGGACTTCGGTACAAACTTCGTAATCAATGCTGTTTATAGTGTATGTTACAATAATTCTCGTTTTAAGAAAGGAAATGATAGAAGACAATAACCGTAGTGGGGTTATTTCTCTGCGTGTTTTACCGTTGCAATAATTATCAAGACTTTCAACTTTGGGATAATTACTATACGGTGACAATGGCGGAATTCAAATGTAGACAAATAAATAATTCTAAATCTGGTCAAAATATTGACAAAAATGACAAACATTCTCCTGATTTTATCGAGCATTCAATAACACCACCGGCAAGAGAGAACACTGAGGTCGACATTGCGAATGAAAGCACAGATGTCGGTGATAATTTGGATACTTTTGAGGATTCCCCAGTCAATAAAGACGAGAATATTCGTCAGAATATAGAAATTGAAATAAATATACTAGCAAAGCAGAAGGAGCTTGGAGATATTGAACCTGAGTTCGAACAAGTGATGAAAGAAATGGAGAAAATTGTTGCATTCGCTGATGATGAAAATGATGAGGATTTTAAGAAAATGGAACAAATAAGACGTGATTATGAGGACAGAATGACCAGAACAGACAGCCGGGGATCATTTACGACTACCTCCAGGGATGAATGGGGGTTTACCACCCGTACCATTCCGGAACTTAACTTTACATGGAACAGTACGGTTAATAGTACTCACCTAAGATCTGGGGATAACTCGCGTTACACAAACCAGTATTTACGGAGCTCAGCTTCAGTTTTCGCTCCCGGGAAAACAAAGCGTCAAAGAAAACGCGAAAAGACGGGCGTTACATGGAGTAGTCGAGTTGAAAACCGTATGGACGGACGAAAACTTTTCTGCTTCGATCAATATGAGGAGGTTCAGATAAGGAATGCTTCAAGATTAAGTAAACGGACCGATACAACGTTGTCAAGGTAAACAGGTCGTTACAACAATATTGGTATATGGAGATATTTTGAATTTTTTAAATGAAGTACATAATTATTTATCAGATAGACAAACGGTCTCTGACTTTTTGTTTTAGACAATAGAATTTGATATACCCAGCGTATACATTTTTCAGTTTCTTAAAGTTGAGTGTAAAACATACATTAACGCAACAAAGCTTTATGCTATTAAGTTACCGTTCAAAGCTATCTAGAGTAAAATGTTACTTAAGTCTAAGAAATTAAAATGATATATACATGTCACAAAAATGATGATAGAAATTGTGGATGCTGTAAAACATTTCTATTCAATTTCTATCATTTTCAATGTGAGCCGATTTTAAATGGTTATTCCAAGGGTTATCATTATATTAATCTTATACTTATCTGGATATATAAAATGAATTGATTGACATAGGACCGATAACTGATTTCTTTAAGTATATATGTTTGACAGTCTAGATAGAAACTTTAAACTTAAACAAACAGGATCAGAACATATAAACAAATCTGATCTGTCCATTTTCCTTACAAATTGTATTACTATTGAAGCCTATATATCCATTAATTTCTTTCATTTTCTGCTTTGATAATATTTTTATTTGTCAGGTATGTCAAACTTGTTTGTAGTTCAAGATTTTATATAAACAATTTGTATCGAATACATGCGGCAATTTAAAGCACTGAACTGAAAGCTAATTGTCGACGCATGTCTTTAAGAACAGTAAACAGAATGATGAATTAATGTATTCAATAGTCCAGGCATGTAGTTCTACTGAATGAATGTTTAGAAAGTTGATTTTACATGGATAATGCATGTTTAAAAGTGTCATCAGTGAATGATGTGTCTAGCTCGTGAAACTGTCATCGGAGATAGCTTGTATTAGAATAAACGTGTTATTTGTCTTCTGATATATTTACACGGATCTTTTTTTCTTTTAAGAAATAAAATTATGATTGAATGGCATTGGACATGTTAACTAACAGTAACGCCGTTTATTTGACCTTAAAGTCAAATTTCCAATAACAAGACATCGCTATATTGATTCATGTAAGAAGTTTGAACTAAAGTGTTTTTCTCCTTTTTTTCTTGTTGTTTGTTTGTTTTTACTTTTCGCACAATTTAACGGAGTTAGAACGGTAATCCTTTCTTTTGGCACAGTTTTTCTAACCAGTCTAATCTGTAATTACAAAAACGTCTTTTTTCAAACTCAGGTGGCTAAAATATAATCTAGTTAATTTTACAAAGAAAGAAGTCGTTTGACTTCGATTAGTAAAAATAATTAGTGTTTTAATCCAATATGAAAATATGTGAGCATTAAATGGATGGTTTTTACCAGTTCAGACCTTTAAAATCTCAGCTTAGAGTTTTCAAGTAAGTCTATCTTTACTTTATTTATAAATACACAGTAAATTGCTTTAAATTATCTTTACTATCGAAAATATTGTACTTTTGTAGACTTTTTTATTAACATCAAACGAGGTGTAAAGGGAAAATTGTTAATTTAGAGACGACCAGTCTTGAACGCGATATTATTGTAACAAATTATTGTAAAACCAGTGGATTAACCGTTGCAGTTTATCATATCTCTGCTCCGCACGATGAAGATAAGGTAAAACTTAATTTTCTCTTGTCAGTGTTGGATTTATTTTTACTTTGCGACATTGGCCCGAGCGTGTGCAGCGACTAAAGTTAACGGATGTTTTTTAATGCGTTCTTATACAATGTATGCGTTAAATGATTATTGATTTGGATTTGTTCACATTTGTCACGAGAAAACAGCCCCATAATTGTTATTGTTTTTTTTTTTTTTTTTGGAGGGGGTCAATATTTGAGTAAATAAATGAACTGTTAATGGAGTAAAATTTTATGTTGTATTGTGCGGAACAAAAGAATACTGCTACGATTTTAGTTATAATAAGTCAATTAATCTCTATAAGACAAAGGATCATGTATGTATGTATGTTGATAGGGTCATGCATATATGTATGTTGATAGGGTCATGCATATATGTATGTTGATAGGATCATGTATATATGTATGTTGATAGGGTCATGTATGTATGTATGTTGATAGGGTCATGTATATATGTATGTTGATAGGATCATGTATATATGTATGTTGATAGGATCATGTATATATGTATGTTGATAGGGTCATGTATGTATGTATGTTGATAGGGTCATGTATATATGTATGTTGATAGGGTCATGTATGTATGTATGTTGATAGGGTCATGTATATATGTATGTTGATAGGGTCATGTATATATGTATGTTGATAGGGTCATGTATATATGTATGTTGATAGGGTCATGTATATATGTATGTTGATAGGGTCATGTATGTATGTATGTTGATAGGGTCATGTATATATGTATGTTGATAGGGTCATGTATGTATGTATGTTGATAGGGTCATGTATATATGTATGTTGATAGGGTCATGTATATGTATGTATGTTGATAGGGTCATGTATGTATGTATGAATAGGGTCATGTTGTATGTATGTATGTAATATAGGGTCATGTATATATGTATGTTGATAGGGTCATGTTATATATGTATGTTGATAGGGTCATGTATATATGTATGTTGATAGGGTCATGTATATATGTATGTTGATAGGGTCATGTATATATGTATGTTGATAGGGTCATGTATATATGTATGTTGATAGGTCATGTATATGTATGTTGATAGGTCATGTATATATGTATGTTGATAGGGTCATGTATATATGTATGTTGATAGGGTCATGTATATATGTATGTTGATAGGTCATGTATATATGTATGTTGATAGGGTCATGTATATATGTATGTTGATAGGGTCATGTATATATGTATGTTGATAGGGTCATGTATATATGTAGTTGATAGGGTCATGCATATATGTATGTTGATAGGGTCATGTATATATGTATGTTGATAGGGTCATGTATATATGTATGTTGATAGGGTCATGTATGTATGTATGTTGATAGGGTCATGTATATATGTATGTTGATAGGATCATGTATATATGTATGTTGATAGGGTCATGTATGTATGTATGTTGATAGGGTCATGCATATATGTATGTTGATAGGATCATGTATATATGTATGTTGATATCAATTTCAATGTGAGCCGATTTTAAATGCTTATTCCAAGCGTAATCATTATATATCTAGATATATAAAATGAATTGATTGACATAGGGCCGATAACTGATTTCTTTAAGTATATATGTTTGACAGTCTAGATATAAACTTTAAACTTAAACAAACAGGATCAGAACATATAAACAAATCTGATCTGTCCATTTTTCTTACAAATTGTATTATTATTGAGGCCTATATATCCATTAATTTCTTTCATTTTCTGCTTTGATAATATTTTTATTTGTCAGGTATGTCAAACTTGTTTGTAGTTGCAAGATTTTATATAAACAATTTGTATCGAATACATGCGGCAATTTAAAGCACTGAACTGAAAGCTAATTGTCGACGCATGTCTTTAAGAAGTAAACAGAATGATGAATTAATGTATTCAATAGTCCAGGCATGTAGTTCTACTGAATGAATGTTTAGAAAGTTGATTACATGGATAATGCATGTTTAAAAGTGTCATCAGTGATATGATGTGTCCCTAGCTCGTGAAACTGTCATCGGAGATAGCTTGTAGTAGAATAAACGTGTTATTTGTCTTCTGATATATTTACACGGATCTTTTTTTCTTTTAAGAAATAAAATTATGATTGAATGGCATTGGACATGTTAACTAAACAGTAACGCCGTTTATTTGACCTTAAAGTCAAATTTCCAATAACAAGACATCGTTATATTGATTCGTGTAAGAAGTTTGAACTCAAGTGTTTTTCTCCTTTTTTTTCTTGTTGTTTGTTGGTTTTTACTTTTCGCACAATTTAACGGAGTTTAGAACGGTAATCCTTTCTTTTGGACAGTATTTTCTAACCAGTCTAATCTGTAATTACAAAAACGTCTTTTTTCAAACTCAGGTGGCTAAAATATAATCTAGTTAATTTTACAAAGAAAGAAGTCGTTTGACTTCGATTAGTAAAAATAATTAGTGTTTTAATCCAATATGAAAATATGTGAGCATTAAATGGATGGTTTTTACCAGTTCAGACCTTTAAAATCTCAGCTTAGAGTTTTCAAGTAAGTCTATCTTTACTTTATTTATAAATACACAGTAAATTGCTTTTAAATTATCTTTACTATCGAAAATATTGTACTTTTGTAGACTTTTTATTAACATCAAACGAGGTGTAAAGGGAAAATTGTTAATTTAGAGACGACAGTGTTGAACGCGATATTATTGTAACAAATTATTGTAAACCAGTGGATTAACCGTTGCAGTTTATCATATCTCTGCCTCCGCACGATGAAGATAAGGTAAAACTTAATTTTCTCTTGTCCAGTGTTGGATTTATTTTTACTTTGCGACATTGGCCCGAGCGTGTTGCAGCGACTAAAGTTAACGGATGTATTTTAATGCGTTCTCATACAATGTATGCGTTAAATGATTATTGATTTGGATTTGTTCACATTTGTCACGAGAAAACAGCCCGATAATTTGTTATTGTTTTTTTTGTTTTTTTTGGAGGGGTCAATATTTGAGTAAATAAATGAACTGTTAATGGAGTAAATTTATGTTGTATTGTGCGGAACAAAAGAATACTGCTACGATTTTAGTTATAATAAGTCAATTAATCTCTATAAGACAAAGGATCATGTATGTATATATGTTGATAGGGTCATGCAATGTATGTATGTTGATAGGGTCATGCATATATGTATGTTGATAGGATCATGTATATATGTATGTTGATAGGGTCATGTATGTATGTATGTTGATGTTTATATATGTATGTTGATAGGGTCATGTTATATGTATGTTGATAGGGTCATGTATGTATGTATGTTGATAGGGTCATGTATGTATGTATGTTGATAGGGTCATGTATATATGTATGTTGATAGG